TTACTACCTACTTACTTACTTCTTCTTCTTCTTTCTTTTCTTTTTTTTCTTTTTCTTTTTCCTTTTTTTATTCGAGGCAACACGTCTCGAGCGTTCGTCCACGTCTCTCCGATCATCACAGTTCCTCCAAGCGATCCGTAACGTCTTTATCGATCGTCCACAATCGAGATTTTCCTCCGCGAAAAATTCTCCCGAAACAAACGAGTCCCTCTTGTCCCGGATCTTAATAAGGCCTCCACACGTTGTTGTCCGGTCTCACTTCCTCCTGCCTCACGCTGCAACTGTCCGCCACCGCTCTCTGCTCGCCACTCTCCGAATTCTGGAACTGATTCCCGTACAGCTGGGAGTAGAGGATGCTCGGCAGCACGCCCGGCGTCGGGAAGTAGTTGCCGTAATTCTGCCCGAATCCTTGCTCCTCGTGGACGGGGCTCTCCGTGGTGCTCGAATCCGTGGACAGGGATCTGGGTGACACGTAGTCCTGGTACCTCTGGCTCGGTGTGCCCGACATCAGGCTGGTCAACGGGTCGAGCGGGTCGGACTGGCCCGTCGTCGTCGAGTCTGGGACCACTGGTTTCGTTTGGAAAAAGAAAAAAGAGAAATCGATGCGTTTTTTTTTTTTAATCCTTTGGTCTTCCGCGAGGGGGGTGGGCAGGGGGATAAGAATCGAGAAGGAGAAGGAAAGAAAAGTAAACGAGACGACGAGTAGTTCGTCTGAAGCAAAGTAATGGTAAACGAGAGTAACAACGTAGCGAAAAGTGTTTCGCGGGATACGTATAATATTTACGATTCGTTGTGTTTCGACGATGAAACGTAATTCAACGATATTACATAAACAGTGGATACACGGGAGAAACGCGACAGCTATTACTAATTTCCCCCTCTCAAGCTAAACTCGTATCTCCAACGATAAACTACTCCTCCCCCTTCCAACAAACATCCCAATATACCAATATTCAAAATTAACAAACGAAATTCAACCGATCGAATTACGATGGAGGCAAAAATATTCGCATTTAGGGTCTCGATCCGACTTCCGGTTCCCGAGACATCCTCGCTCCAACGGAAGGGTAATTAATTTTTTTTAAATATCCCGACACGCTCGCGGCGCCACTTTTTCCCTTTTTTTCTTTTTTTTTTTTTTTTCCACTATTTACTATCGCGTCGTACGCGAGGAGGGAAAAAAAATGTGGGACGATCGGCCCATTCATCCACCATTTTTCCGGTATCTCGAGATATCGACAAACAAAGGGTATTTTCAAAGATCGAATTAGACTTTTTCACTCGTACGATCTTTATCTTATCCCTCGTACGAACGAGCAAAGAATTTACAAGAAGTTTTTAAAAGACAAGATTATTTTTTCCGTGAGTTTGGAATCTGCAGTAGTAGTAGCCGCAGGAAACTATAGCGAAACTAATTTCATCGATTGTCCCTGATTGCGTAACGCAGCGCCGCGATATCGATTACAAATGTACCGGGGCACATATTGTAAACATCGGCCGATCAACTATTAATACAATAGTTTAACGTAGCGGGCGGTTTACGCGTTTTCAGAGAATTATTCGTGCGTGAAATAAATAAATAAAACTGTACCTAAAACTGTGCAATCGAAACTGCGATCGAGAAATAAAAGAGAAATAAAAAAAAGAAGGAATTGAAGATAGAAAGATTCCAAGGGACGCGAAATTTAAAATTCATTTTTTTTCTTTCTTTTTACCAATTTCACCGAACGAAAAAAGAACTCGTTCCTTTTACTTAACCCTTTCGCTACTACGAGCGACCATAGTCGCTGTGCGTGTCGTATGATACGACGATTGGAGTTATTGCACATCGAGTATCTTTCTCTGGAAGTATAGTATCGATATCTTCTTTTTATCATCAATTCTTTTTATTTTAATAAACATCGTTATAAGGTTAACGATTTTTAGGCTCGTTCGAATGGCGAAAAAGTCACTCGTAGCGAAAGGGTTAAAGTTACGAACGAAAACCGAAAAAAGGAGATTCGCGATTCGGAGAGACAAAACGCGGAGAAGGACGAATTGTACGAGGGCGATGTAAGAAAAGGTAAGGAGGGAGGAGGAGGAGGGATCGCCGCGACAGATGAAAGAAGACAGAGAATGAAACTTACGGGACGAGACAGCTGAGAACGCATCCTGCTGCGCCGTGGATCCTGCACCGGTGCCGGAAGCGACGGTGGACCCCGCCGTCGAATCGGGCGCCGTCGGCGTGTTCATAGACGCGGCGCCCGCGAAAGACGCCAACGAGGAGGACGACGGGGGCGGTGGCGGGGGCGGCGGTGGCGGGGGTGGGAACGACGCTTGTGCCGCGCACGACGACAAAGGGCCGGGAAGGTAGCCGGCGTACCCGGCCGTGCTCCCGTATCCCCATGAATTGCTCGCAGTGAGACCGAACTGGGACATGTCTGAGAACAGATCGTCCTCGTCGTGTCAGACATGAAAACATTCTTCTGGTTTCCACACACACACACACACACACACATCCTTTTCTCTCGAGATTCGAAAACATCGTTCGACCATTCGAGGTTTCGTTTCCAAGAATATATTTTTTATTGGAGAAGGGGAGGGATGCGGAAGCAAGAGGCAATAACACAAATACGATCGGGCGAAGAAAGCGAAAGCGAGAACACGAACGATATCGCGGTTGCGTGATTGGTGAGGCTTGGAGGAAAAGGCGAGGAATCGGATCGGATGTTGTGATGAGCGCGAAGACCAGTATCGAGAGGACGATGGAGGAAGGGAATATATATATATACGGAGAGGGAGGTGAAAGCGAGAGATCGAGAAGATCGAGGCGAATAGAGGGATCGCTCTTCTTTTGCACCCTCTTTGGATTTATTTTTGCGGCATACAGGCAGCGTCCCCCGATAGATTTTCCAATGAGTTCCGTGAGAGGAGGGGGTTGAAGGTGGGAAGCGAGAGGGGCGCAGCCGGACAGGGAACGAGAAGGGAGGGAGGGAGGGCGCGTTCGAGATCAAAGGGTCGGTTGGTCATCCCCCGCGTACCTTCGGCCAACTCAAATAACCGAGAGAGAGAGAGAGAGAGAGAGCTGGACCATCGCCGTCGACCGGGCCGTCGTTGACGAGAGAGGCTAACCCTAAATAGCGTGTGGAGCCAGCATCTGCTTTCACGTCGTTCGTTCGTTCAATTTTCAAGCAGGGGCAAGCAAGCAAGGGGTGGTTGGAAACTTGGATATCGCGACGTAAGGAGAACCTTTGATTAACGCCACCACGGATTAATTTCCAAGCTTCGATTTACCGGCAATTTTCCTCGATATCATCGTCTCTGTATTCTCGGGGAGGGAACGAATCGTCGAGGGGGCGGGAATGTTTCGATCGACGTCCCCTCCTCCCCTGTTCGGGGAGCGCGTTCGAACGAGCGGTTTCTTCGTAAAATTTCCTCGTATATACGACGCGAAAAAATTAAAAAGCACTTGTGTGCGTAGGCGTTGTGGGATAGCGTTAATCGGGGACAGTTGGACGTCGCGAAATTAAAAGATGTATTGAAGGGGCAAACGGCGGCTGCGGATCGAGAAAACGCCGAAGCGAATTATCGATGTCCGATGTCGGGAAAAAAATTAATAAAGGAAATACCCGGCATGCTTGGATACTTTATCGAGGAATTTATCGCTTTTGGATCCGAAGGCGACTCATTAAAAACGACTCTCTCTCGCACCCTACCTTCGCCCGATAATATTTCTCCCGCGCGGATTTCTTCCGCGGCAAGATAATAAATTCGCGGATAAACCGCGAAAATCCATCCATCCATCCATCCATTCGTCTATCCATCCTCGCTTCTTCGCTCGCTCTTCGCTGCTTTGGTGGAAACGAGGAGGAGAGAGAGGGGAAAAAAAAAGGAAAAAAAAAAAGAAATCGCGTCACACAGCGAAAAGCTATCCTCTGGAAAATTCGTGAGAATCCTAGCACGGGAACCACCGATACGGGAGAGGAAGAAACGGACGAATGGAAGGGCGATGTTTCGCGTGGAAATTCTCGAATTCTCCTGTTGGAAACGCGAAGGGAGGGGAAGGGGGGGGGAGAGAGAGTTACCAGGCCAAAACGACGAGCCATCCCCGACCAGGCATCTCCGCCGCTCCCGTGGCAACCCCTTTAATATAATATTTAATCTAGCTTTGAACAGGCTTGCGGTTTCCGCCTCTAGAGTCGAGAAGCTAGCTCTTGCGAGCCTAAAACCTCTCTCTCTCTCTCTCTCTCTCTCTCGTC